CAAGGCAGCGTCCTTGTCAAACACATCCCAGCTCAGGATTACTTCACTCGCGTCCCCCTGATTACGATGCGCGCCGCGTGCTGCTAAATACAACCTGCCACTGAATGCCAAGTACTTCCAAACTAAATTAGGAAATATGTCCAAATACAGAGAATGATGCTAAGAGCCCTAAGTGGGTCTCTCTCTTCCTTTATGAGGCATGAGACTCGTCGTCAACATAATGCTCTTAAATGAGGCAATTCTACCTTCTAACCCTCCACATCTGAGAACAAAATTTAATTCAGGCGGCAAAAGAATTAATGATATGGTATCATACACATGTTTTCATTGGTGGAAGCATTTTTGACAGATTCAGAAAATATGAGACATAGAAACACATCATACAGGGGTATTTGGGCACAGAGGGCTAGGGCGGAGTTGACACGGATTTCTGCACTGCAGCGGGAGGAAGCAGGCCATTGCTAAGTAGCATCTGAAAGCAAAGACCTGTGAGGAGGCCTTCTCACCACATACCCACATACCCCAGAGGTCACGTGCCCACCCCTCTTCATTTTACATAAAAGAGGCGAGTTGGCTCACCACCTTAGAGGAACCATGGACTCTCCTTCAGATGGCACCAACTAAGCCAAGAAGGACACACACTGGTGCGTGTGGCAGTTCCACCCCACCTGACGGGGCCCGAGAGGGCTGCTAGTCCCACAGTCCCACTGCACTGGCTCTAGGTCAGCGGTTCTCAACCTTCCTAATGCCACCACCCTTTAATACAGTTTCTCATGTGGTGGTGACCCCCGATTTCATTGTTACAAATTGAACATAATTAAAGCATAGTGATTAATCACAAAAACAATATGTAACTATATATGTGTTTTCTGATGGTCTTAGGCGACCCCTGTGAAAGGGTCGTTCAACCCCCAAAGGGGTCGTGACCCACAGGTTGAGAACCGCTGCTCTAGGTAAAGCCATGTGATTTGAAATGAACCGCCACTCATCCTAAGTAGCAGAGCTACAAAATAATTTACTGAACAGTAAGAGCAGACAGGTCTCTGTATAGTCCTCTGGCCTCACTTTGTTGTGACCTTTCTGTAAAGCCTGTGAGAGAAAAGATGTCCAGGAACTGCCAGGGAAATGGGGTGTGCTGCCACCTGCCACTTTCCCAGGGATGCCGCCATAGAGGCAACAGCCATCAAAATCATAAAGGCACGGACCCCTTTCACTCAGCAAGTCTACTCGGAGGAACTAACCCTATAAACACATTCATGTGGGCCAAATGTGGTTCACAGCAGCAAAAGACAGGGAGCAATGTAGCATACATCTAGAGGGGCTAGCCGAACTCATCAAGCTCCACCCACAGGTGCGGGACCATAACATTGCAAACAGAAAAACAAAACAATATCCAAACACCAGGATGAAATGATCTTTAAGAAGTTTTGTTGCAGGAAAAAGCAAGGTGCAGAACAACAATATAGTATTTTACCATTTGCATTTTTAAAAAAGAGGGTGCTGAGGGTATATCTAGGTAATTTGCTTACATGTGCATAAAATACCTCTGGAAGGATGTACACGAAACTAGCAACACTGACTTGCCTCCAGGAAAAGAAACTGGGTGGCAGGTTGAAAGGAGTGGGGAAGGGCCATCCCACTGCACATCCTTCCTTGTCAGATCTGTTGATTTCTGAATCAGGTGAATGCATTACCTCGTTTTAAATTACTCTTTAAAAAAAACTATGTTTAAAAATCTGATCTTTTAACAAAAAGTGAAAATAGACAATGGCCATTTTTTCTACGACTTTACTTGGGCAAAGAAAATGCTGGCAATTCCAAGTGGGGTCCCTAGTCCTGGCCTCTAAATTCAAAAGTCTGGGAAGTTCTGTGCCATAAGCAACGGAGCTGTGCAGAGCACGAACTCTCTCTGGTCCTGGAACACACGGAGCTGCAAAGGATCAAACCAGCTGTACTCACAGGCCTTTTCTTAAGGTTCAATAGGTGCATTTTGCTACATAACTTGGTCTCATTTCCTTGGAAAACTGTTTATTGACAGAGCTGGGTTACTTGACAAGCATCAGTTTGCTGAAATCTGTGCGTGAGGCTGTTTCACACTCCAGTGCCAGGAACACAACTGGTGCTCTGTGGCTCTCTGTGCTGAACGCGCACATGATGGCTGGCTAGCTGGATCTATGAGTGGATGGACTTGAACCATTATTATTTGATGCTCTGACAGCTGTGGTGCCTATAAAATGCTAATGCGATCATCGTATGGGGCAAGGATATCCTCCAACTAAACAAAAATAACACCTCTGGAGTATTTCTACAGGTTAGAGAAACCTTACTTCCCAACTCAAATGTATTTTATATCAACATTTGGACTTCGCTGTGTTTTTATCACAGTTAATCAATAATGGACTCCAGCTAAGCCCCAGCTCTGTATCAGGTACAAACGAAGATAAGCCAAACTCTCTGTTCTCATAAAGCCTTCATCTGATTCCGAGTTACACAGGCCAGAGGCGCAAACACAAGCCCCCATGTGGACGTAGCTCCAGGCAAAGTCTACTGCTAATAGTCTGACACGAACCTAATAAAACGTGCCGGGACACACGCTGCCAGGCCAAGCAGACACAGCCAAACGGCACTCACAGCAGAGCAGCCCTGAGCACCCATGCAGCTACCTGGGGGTTACGACATGACATCCTAGGACAGCAGCAGGATGACATGGCTTAGCGCACACAGAGATGTTCCAGGTCCCTTACGCTTCTTAAAAATGCAGGTTCTTCTGAGGAAGCAGAAAACCCATTAAACACAATCAGATGGAGCGTCCTGCCTCTGCAAAAATAAGGAAAGTTTCATAGACAAAAGCTTGGCTTCCCTCACATTCGAGTGGGTGGCATTCATGTTGGAGAAACATCTCAACACAAAGTTATTACTAACAACAACCAGCCAGCCACCCACAAGTGTTTGAAGGCTTGCTGTTGTGCGCACAAAATATTTGGGTAACTGCTACTGTCAGATTTCAAAGGATGCTTCAACAAATTCTGTAGCAAATTTACTTCCACTTTTAATTTTAAAATAGCAATGAAAATACCAGTAACAAGTTATTTGAGAGAACACATTTTAAAATAAATTTCCATAAAATTAAGGTATTAATAAGCAGATTCTTATAATTAATGCTTTTAATTGGGTTGGAAATTTTCAGAGGCATCCACAAAAGTGCCTCCGTACCACCGATAGCTAAAGGATGCTGAACTCTCCCTTTCACTGGTTTCTCAAATATATCCACTATGATTGTATCAAAATATAAGACTGTATAGAAATAAATCTACTTAGATAAGTCAGAGAGAAATAGGATCTGCCAGATGAAAAATTTATTGAAAATATGGAAAATTTTAACCAGGCTAGTATTACGTATCTCTATCCCCTCACTACACTGAGACTTGAGAAATAAATGAGATAACCCAAACTTGAAAGCATAATGGATGAAAAATTAGAAAGCAAATCCGCAGTCTTTCTTCTCTCAACAAATGAGCTCACCAGGGATCGGAAAAGAAAGTTTTTTTAAAGCCCTAGAAAGGAAACCGCCTTCAGAAAGCAATTGCTGTCCCCTCCCCCCACTTCCTAGGAAGACAAAACACAGGAGTTAGAGCATCGCAGACTTGTCAGCCGACAGATGCTGACATATGCACTCCTCCAGCACAGAGGGAGGCCCTTCTCACAGTGAGGCTGCAGGAAGCCACGGGCCTTTCTAGTGCCTTATCTATCTTACTGGGTGAAGAACACAGTTGCAATCCAGGACGCTTCAAAGCTTTGAGTACCTACTAAGTTGCAAAATCAGTGAACGCCTGATAAATGAGACCTGACCTTACAGGTGACTTACACGTTAGGGGAAACTGTAAAAAAAATTCACAAACGGAGACCAGCATTGAACTACGACTGGTAGAAATACCAGGAGGCACACAGTGATGATTAACTGTCACACGCCAGGCATGACGCTTAAAGCTTTACAGACATGTTTTCATTTAATCTGGTAATTCTATGGTGTAGGTACTGTTATGAGCCCCCTTTTACAAGTGAGGAAACTGAGCCCTAGCTGGTTTGGCTTCACGGATAAAGCATCATCCCGTGGACTGAAGGGTCCCGGGTTTGATTCTGGTCAAAGGCACATGCCTGAGTTGTGGCCTTGATCCCCAGGAGGGGGCATGCAGAAGGCAGCCAATTAATGATTCTCTCTCATCACTGATGTTTCTATCTCTCTCTCCCTCTCCCTTCTTCTCTGAAATCAATAAAAATGAGGACACTGAGGCATACAGAGGGGAGGGTTAAGCAGCCTGCCTCAGGCCACGTGGGACGGCAGGCCACAGCAGTGCCAGGGAGAGGCCTCTGTCCTCAGGAGGAGGAGCTGCCAGGGGAGCCAATGCGCAGAGAAGTTTCTTCCTGGGATCACACCACTGCCAGGGGGTCGAGAGAAGGCACACTGAAGGGAAAACAAAATAAAACTTGATCCCTCTCCCCCCTGACCCCACTGGAGGAGAAAGAGACTTCCATAAATCAACTTTAAGACTTTTCAGACTAAGTACTTGGCCTACAGTCAGGATAGTAAAACGCTAGGTAGTGATTACATTTAGTAATCATGCAAAGAATTTCAATTAAAAACTTTTCTCCCTGCTTCTGGCTCAGAGTATCAGAGGTACTTTTATGAACTGTTGGTGAGAATATAAATTTTGCTGCAACCTTTTTTCTATAAAGGTATGTTTTCCAGTGTATAAATGTACCTATATTCTAGATGGATATCTATTAGAAATTATCAGTTTTGTCTGTGGAGTGGGGTTGGGGAAAAGGAGGAAAAAAAAACAATTCTTTTCACCTCATATCCTTTTCAAGTGCTTGAATTTTTTTGCCATGCTAAATATCTATTTCCCGACTACATCTTGGAGCTTTAATTTTTTAAACTGCCTTCTAGAAAATAAAAACTGATGTTCTATTTTGTTAATTGCATGTCTTGCTATTTGTACCTTGTTTCCTTCGTGTACCCATCCTAGACTCTTCACTCCAAAAGCAGCCTGGTTGGCCGAGACATCCAGACAGGTGACGGGCTGCCCGTAGACGTGGTGGAGGGTTCTGGCAGAGTCGTCAGCCTTTAGCAGGTACACCAGATCTCCAGCAGTGGCCACTGCCACAGGGTACCTTTCGGTATCTGGAACTATTTCAAGGTAGTCAACCTGGAAAGGTTAAGGGTTATTTAGTCCTTCAGGTTCCACATACAGTTCATCCTGACTTGGTCAAAAAGTATATAGCTCCTGCTCAATGTCAATGAGAAGACCAGCAACTCCACAGAAAAAGACGGGTAAAGGGGCAGTTCACAGGAAATGACACACAGTTCTTAAAGAAACACAATACACTCCTAATAAGAAAAATATAAAGTAAAAATTCACTGAGGTACCATTTTCACCTGTCATACCAGTAAAGATCACATTGTCTGCTGAGACACTGGCCTGGAAGTGAAGGGGACAACCACATGATGGGTCCCACTACGGTTGGTGGGATGTAATCTGGTCCAATGTCTATAGTGCAGTGGTTCTCAACCTTCCTAACGCCGCGACCCTTTAATACAGTTCCTCATGTTGTGGTGACCCCCAACCATAAAATTATTTTCGTTGCTACTTCATAACTGTAATTTTGCTACTGTTATGAATTGTAATGTAAATATCTGATATGCAGGATGTATTTTCATTGTTACAAATTGAACATAATTAAAGCATAGTGATTAATCACAAAAACAATATGTAATTATATATGTGTTTTCCGATGGTGTTAGGCGACCCCTGTGAAAGGGTCGTTCGACCCCCAAAGGGGTCGTGACCCACAGGTTGAGAACTGCTGCTATAGAGGGAAATCGGCAACACTTTCCACAATGTCAAATGCACTTAGGCTCTGACCCAGCAAGTTCCTTCCAGGACTTTCCATACAAATAAACTTGCATTAATCAAAACCATGTATACAGGTTATTGGCTAAAGCTTTACTTTTTCATCACTAAAAACTGGAAAATGCTAAATGGACTATAAATAACTGACAGTCCATATTTGCGCTGAAATACCACGCAGTCTTGGGCAAAAGCATGAAGAGTCTTCATGAACTGATACTCATTTGGGCAGAGAGCAAGGAAGCAAGGTAATGGGATTCCCAGTGTGCTAACGTGTGTGCATGTGGGCAGAGGAAGGGTGTGATGTACTTGGCTTGTACATGCATAAATCTTCTAATCATGGCTGCTTTCAAAGAGGGAAGAGTTGAGGGATGGGGTGGAAATGTTGTTACTCACTGTAAACTTTATTGGATCTTTTAAATTCTGAACCCATGCAGGCGTAATAGTTATTCAAAAGTATCTTTAAACCAGAAACTGAATAAAATTCACTCAGTTCCAAATGAGCAAAAATCACATTTTAACATCTGTGCAAATACCAAAACTGCGTTGCTAAAAGGTTAGAAATATCTGAGTTACCTGCTCTCTCCAGGCTTCCATGCCATCGGGAGCAGGAAGGCCACGACCAACAGGCTTTTTGTGCCAGGCCCTTCTCTAATCTGCATGTGTAGGGGAGGTCCCTTTAAGAATAATGTGCTTTTCTAGATCCCTGAGTGGCACACTCCCCCAGTGTAGTTTACCACCGGTTCTCACCTCCCTGAGTAAATTCTGAGAGTGCGACAACAGGTGAGCCAAGCCATTCAATTATGAAAATCCACGGTGTAAAAGGACAGTATTGCCCTGAAAACAAGATAACTGAGTCCAAAGCCTGAATGCTGAGGGCTGTCCAGGGGAGTTGGAGACAGAGAGGGAACATCTGGGTGGCTCTGCTAATCCTCGGCCCCTCGTCCAAAGCCCAGGGCCCATCACAAAGGCTGATGTTCTAGGCTGACATCACAAACACGGGAACACTGCCACTGCGATTCGGGGAGCCTATCTGGGGAAGACAAAAGGACCCATCGCTCTAGGCCAGGGGTGCCTGCCAGTGACAAGCAGCCTGTGGCCACCCCGCACGCAGGGTGAGAAATAACACATAAAGTGTTACAGCACCCGCCTCCAGCTTGCTCCCTCTCTCCAGTCTAAAAACCATTTCTTACTTTCCTAAGACTGACATCCTCAGCCCAGCCATGTAATTTCATCTTCATGTTGGATTTTGGACAGACCAAGATGCTCTGATTGGCAGTGGCTGGGCCACTGCTGGGAGCTATAAAACTACTTCAAAAAGCATCCAGTCTGTGCCAGGATGCCACTGATTGCCAAGGCAGGATTTACATTTTATAGAGGGACTCACATCTTAAGTAATTGTCTGAGTTCATATAATTGTTGCCATTCTACAGTGTTCTTTAGTCAAAGACCAGATGATAAGCACGACAGTAGTTGTGAAAACAAACAAATATGGTTCTTTCACATTTTTCTAATAAAACCCAAGATGGGAGAACAGCCTCAGGCAGTTTGGGGGAACGCTAGACCCAAACTGCCGAGACTGGCTCATTAGAGGGACAAGCAGCTTATGGAGGTGAGGCAGTAACATGGGGCTTTTTAGTTATTCAGTCTAATAAGATTCTCACCAGGAGGAAAGGGAGAGGAAGAGGATTTGTTCCAGGTCAGGCCATCAATTTATTCAATGTTGGCTCTTCTGTTCACTCTTCTACTAGTGCCAAAATCAGGTTTGTTTAAATTAAACCGGAATTCAGCACAGATTTAAACTTCCTTCTACCAGCAAATCACCTGCTACCATTAGAATGCAGAGGCTCACGTACAAGTGAACTCAGAAGCAAGCTCCACGTAAAGAACTCTTTACGGCTGGCTCAGCTTCACACACGACGTCCTGGAATATGACGCCGACTTCTACCTATTTTCACACAGGAGCTACTTTTACTTCCAGGTGAAAAAAACTTGGGGTGAAGAAAGCTGAGGATAGAACCCTCCTTGCCATAAGGACTGGGATAATGTCACTGAACTCATTTTCACTTCTGTAGGAGGCCAGAAGCTGACCTTAGATTTCGAGTGGTGGATGTCCTGTGAAAGCGGATGAGGACCATGGCAATGAGAAACTCTAGCCCTGAAGTAAGCCCTGGGTTCGAATCACACTTCCTGGCTCTGAGGCTGGGGAGGTCCAGTCACTGCTCTAAGTTTTTCTTGGCTTCTTGGTAAACAGGGAAAATGATAGCACCTATTTCGCAAGGCAGGGGTGAGATTTATGGATGTGAGGCCCACAGGGAGTCCTGAGTGAGTGGGAGCTTCCCACATCATTACTATTTGTTTATATTAGATTCAGAGGTTCTAAGAATGAAAAATAAAATGACCAGACTAAAAGCTCACCAGTTTCTGAACTTCGAATTCTGCAGCTATTTGCCAATATCCTTCCTCATTGGGATGCAACATCACAACATCGAAAGCAGAAGCTGTGGCAACAGTGGCATCTTCCTGGCTGAGGGCTAGTGCCTGTATTCTTGCATCATGCTCAAAGCGGTGAATAGGATACTTTCCAGTCCTTAGATCCCAAATATTAAGAAATCCTATGTAGAAAAAAAAAGTATGTAGATAGCTTTAAATTTACTTCAATGTAATTATAAAATAACAATTGTTTAATGTAAAGAAAATTAAAAAATGAATGATAAAATATTTGCATCACATATAACAAAGGGCCAATTTCTATCCTATATAATAAAAGGCTACTATGCAATTTGTTCCCTCGGGAGTTCGACCAAGCGTTTGATCGCTCGCTGTGATATGCACTGACCACCAGGGGGCGGCGTGGAACATGGCGGGCAACCAGCAGCAGCAGCAGTGGGGGGAGCGAGGGAGCAAGGGAAGGAGAAGGAGTGAGGGAAGGAGAAGGCGGGGAGGCAGGGAACCTGATCAGCCCTGATTATCGGTCAAGCCTAGGGGTCCTACCCGTGCACAAATTTCATGCACCGGGCCACTAGTTATATATAAAGGACTTCTAAGATTCACTAAGAAAAAAAAGCAACTGAAAAGTGAGTGAAGGACATGAGTATACTGTTCACAGAAAAAGAAACACAACTGACTCAAACATAAAAATAAAGTAAAAATTCACTCAATTAGAAAAAGATAAATAAAAACTATAATACCATTTTTATCAGTCATATTGACAAAGATAAAATATTTCATAAAATATTTTGTTGAGAATTCAGGGAAATGCGCTCTCAAATTGTTAGTGGGGATGTAAACTAATTCACCCACTTTGAAGGCGATTGGATAATATTTACAAAATTAAAAATGTATATAGGCTAGTCACTGTACTGCTTTTAATTATTTCAAAAGACTGCAAGTTTTAAATGTCCATGAATAGAGAGCTACTTAAATAACGCCACCTCCATACTTTGTAATTTAAATAAAATGACCAGTTAAAAAAGACTGAGTCAGCCTTATATATGCTATATGAAATGATCAACAAAATATATTGTTAAATGAAAAAAGTAAAGAACAAATAGTATAGTACGTTACACTGTTCTTGTGTTTTAAAAAATTTACACACACACACACACACACACACACACACACACACACACACACAAATGGAATATCCTGGAAGGACACACAAGAAACTATTAACGGTAACTGGCCTCCAAGGAAAGAAACCAGAGGAAAAGAAGAAGAGCAGGAGGGAAGTTTCCTGTTACCTCCTTGTACATACTAAAATGTTTTCCAAAAACTATCTTTACCAAGAAGAAAAATTTTTTAAATATGTTTTCACGAGAGAAACCTAAGAAGAATTAATTGCTGAGTAGTGCTAACATATGGAGTTAACTCATTCTTCTACTTGTCCACTCATTTGTGCAACAAATAACCACTGAGCGCCCTAACCGGTTTGGCTCAGTGGATAGAGCGTCGGCCTGCGGACTGAAAGGTCCCAGGTTCGATTCCGGTCAAGGGCATGTACCTTGGTTGCGGGCACATCCCCAGTGCGGAGTGTGCAGGAGGCAGCTGGTCGATGTTTCTCTCTCATCGATGTTTCTAACTCTCTATCCCTCTCCCTTCCTCTCTGCAAAAAAATCAATCAAAAAAAAATAACCACTGAGCACCTGTTCTGGGCCAGACCCTTCTCCAGACGCTAGCAATGCCTGAAAACAGCCATTAAAAGTAGTTTACATCCTTCCTCACCACCTCCTTCCTCTAGACCCCCCTGGCCATGAACAGTTGTAAAAACCCGAGCTTGACTTTGCCACACTGGTTAAAAACTGATTTTATAATCCACCCTCTCCCCAGCACCTTGACTGCTGCTACCCAGATGAAGTCCTCTTGCACACACTGGCCATGTCTCCACCTTTCTCAAACTGTCTACGGCACTGCTCTCCAAGTGGGCGGGCCCAGGACCATCAGGATCCCCCGGGCTTGTTAGAAAAGCAAATTTTCAACTGGAGTGAAAGCTTGAGTTTGAGAACCAGCGGTCTACAGGAACTTTCAGCCCCCTGCAGATACATACACTTTTCTGTATTTGCAATGCCATTGATTCTTTTTTTCTCACCAAATCATTTCTTCTTTATGACCCCAAGCTAGTTTTCCCTCAAAGGTTTACCCAAGAAAAGAATTACTTTCTGTAGATGCTGGATAATGGTTTGTTCCAATTCCAACTGATTTTATTTTTTCAAAATTCACAGAAACAATCTGTGGCGATAACACAGTCCATGGCTATTTCTTTGAGTTCAAACCCAGCTCCACTGCTCGCCAGCTGAAGGCCTTGGGTGAGTTACGTAAAGCAGTGAGCCTGTTTCCTCACCTGTAAAACTGAAGATAGCATTACCGACTACCCAGGGCTGTGGGTAGATTAAAGGAGATAAACCACATAAAATGCTGGAGAAGACCAATCATTTGTTTTTATGTATTCATAAAAGTTCCTGCTGTGTATAAAGCCTTTTTAATCTATTAATAACACTGATTTCCTCTACTGCTCATCCATAAATCCAGTCCTATTATCTGCAGCTTCCTACTGCCTAAAACAGAGGTAGCTGCCCATGTTTCTTCTCTTTGTGAGCCATCTTCCCATCTTTCTTTTTTCTTGCCTTGTGCTTTTGTCTTTAAACAATAAATGACTTGAACTTACAAACTCACTATGAAGTATGCTTCAGCACTAAATAAATACAGTCAGAAGAAAATAGTACCTTTGGGTTGCTTTGCCAGACTTTCAAACTGTCAGTAGACTTAAGTAGGTGATTACAAACCAAAGCAGATCTTTTGAGTTAAATGTTGCTTCATATGTAAAATAGGATGCTCAATATCTGAAGTACAAGAATTATGATAAACTTGGGGGATAAGCAGATCACAAAGGCTCCATAACACATTCCCTGGCAAATATTCTGGTAAATTCTTTCCCTTCTGACTCAGAAGAAACAGACATACAGCAGAAAACACCAATGGCTCTGCACATAAAATAGGAGATAGATGCGCCTCTTCCAAATGTTTCCGCGTGGCATTTGTTGGGAGACATCACAATCAGGAGTAGAGAGACATGAAAGTTGCTACTTGCAAGGAACTTTCAAACGTGCAGACACTGTCATCTGTCTACTTTCATCCAGTGCTCACTTTGTCTTGGGAGGAGCATCCATCCTTATCCTCACTTTACAAAAGAGAAGAGACAGAAGCTCCAAGTGGTTAAACAACTGTGCAAAGCCACTAGGTACACAATGAGGCTGGGCTGAAATTTAGCTAGAAACGTGTAGGATGAGCAGCTGCATTTACAAGTGCATAAAATAACTATGAGATCGATGAGTAACTGACGTCAACTCACCCTGTGTTCTGCCAAGTGTGGAAGTTATTCAACCACAGCTCACTCTAAGCACACATGGAGTTTATCTATAAACACATTTTTCATTATTAATCAAGTATTGGTTTTGTTGGCATCATTTTTCCAACAGAATCGTATGCAATAAAATAGGCTTCCCCACAGGCTGAGTTTCACAGAGCTATCCTAAGAAGGGTCTTTTTGGAAAATACATTCCAAGGCTCCATCCATTTAATTCTCTCTGAATGCCTATTGTGCCATCATCTTTGTTATTTTCTCTATTTCAACTGTTAAGTGTAGAACTTGGTCAGATCCTCACTTGTGAATGGTGCCAGTGTCATCTGCACAGTCCTCCAGGACCACTTCATGGTGATAAAATTTAGGGTTGTTATGTCCTCTTGATGAATTGACACTTTATTATACGAACATCCTCTATCCTTGGTTATACTCTCTGCTCTGAAATCTACTTTGTCGGAACCTGACAGAGCCCCTCCAGCATTCTTTGGATTATATTTTTTTGTCTTTTCGCTTTGCCATGTCTTTATATTTAAAGTGAGTTTCTTATAAATGGCATATGGTTGGTCTTGCTATTAACTGGTGTGTTTAACTATTTATCTTTAATGTGATTATTGGTAAAAATGGGCTTACCCTACCATTTTTCTATTTGTCCCATTTGTTCTTTGCACCTTCCCCCACTCTTTTTCTGTTTTAATTCCTTTGTTGACTTATTAGCCAAACCCTTTGCTGTGTTATTTCAGTGGTTGCTTCAGGATTTTAACATACACCTGTAACTTACCGCAGTCTACCTTCATGTCACACCACCTCTCACATGTAAGAACTTCCCAGCAGCTACTTCCATCTCCCCCCTCCCAGGCTTTGTGCTACTGTTGTCGTACTTTTTATTTCTACATGTTATAAACCCCACATACACTGCTGTTATTTTTACATAAACAGACGATTATCTTTTAAAAAGACTTAAGTAAAGGAAAAAAGCCAATTGTTATTTATCAGAGTAATTACCACTTCCAGTGCTCCTGCAATATCACTTTTATTAAATCCTGCAGCTTTTGTAAGATTTGCAACTTCACTTTGCAACTATTCTGTTGGATATTTGACCCAAAAACACATGGGCAAGGTGGGCAGGAACAGACACAGCAGCTAACAGGGAGGGATGTTTGAGTGAAAGCTAATTTTATAATCAGCTGACTTGTTAGTTATATAGTTATGTCATGGCTAGTTTTACAACCTCAAATACTCGGAACAGTAAAAACTTGAATTATAAGACTATTTTATAGCAATGTCGCAGATTATCATTCACGTGAACCAATATGTAGCCAAAAATAAATTAATGCAACAACACATTCAATGAGTACCTGCTGAGCCCTGCTCTGGGCCACCCACGATCCTAGATATTGGAAAACCACAGTGCATACATCAAAACAAAGCAAAGAAGTCCCTGCCTGCATGCAGCTGACACTCTAGTGCAGGGGTGGGCAGGCAAACTTTTTGATTCGAGGGCCACAATGGGTTCTTAAACTGGACCGGAGGGCCGGAACAAAAGCATGGATGGAGTGTTTGTGTGAACTAATATAAATTCAAAGTAAACATCATTACATAAAAGGGTACGGTCTTTTTTTTTTTTTAGTTTTATTCATTTCAAACGGGCCGGATCCGGCCCGCGGGCCGTAGCTTGCCCATGGCTGCTCTAGTGGCATCCATCCAGCATCTCGCATGGGGGGACAAAAAAAAGACATGATCCCTATTCTCACAACA